TCCACTGCTGAGCCCCATGAGGGGCCTGGCGGTGGACCTGCAAGGCCGGCGGGAGTGCGAGGAAGCCCCGCGAAGGCCCTCCCTGGCCCCAGGCAGGGGTGGGGAGAGGCAGGGAGGAAGCAACTTACCCTCCCTCTTCTCCTGCCTCCTCCTGGCTGAATGAGGGCCGGAAGCGGGGCGGCCGGAAGCAGGGGGCAGTTCCCCCGTGATCCCCCACGAAATGACCTCTGGTGGGATGTAATGCCATAGTCCATATTTGGGGCCGCCCGTTTACGGTGAGATGAAGTGATGAAATAGTAGGAAAGAGCCAGAGTCCAGCAGCACCTTGAAGACTAGCAACATCTGTGGCAGGGGAGGAGCTTTCGTGAGCCATTGCTCACGTCTCATGAAAGCTCCTCCCCTGCCACAAATTCTGTTAGTCTTTACGACGCCACTGGACTCTTGCTCTTTTCTGCTGCTACAGGCTAATGCGGCTGCCCGTCTTGATCTTCCTGACCGAATAACGGACTGTCGCGTCAAAGTCCTGCATCGGCTATACTCTTTAAGAGAAAGGCTCACGCTGTACCCATGCCAAATGTAAGAATTTTTCTAATCCCGAGCAAGTAGAAGACAGAGGCTGTCAAAATAAGGGAGAAAGCACCTGCCCCATTCTTTATCCTTTGGAAGAAACTCAGACGGAAGCATTGTAAACGTCTCATATAAATGGTTTAATAGGTCTCCCACGATATCAGGTGGCAGTGATATACAGAAGCATGATACACATATAAAGTAGCGTGCGCACAAACCAAAAGAGCACTTTCCTTCTGTATTCCCCTTCCAACCACTCAGATACCAGCTCAGAAATGCTGGACTTACAAACAAGAGAAGTGTTCTGCCTTCGGCCTGGTGAAAGGCAGCCTCGAACTGGGAACCACTGAGGTTGGTATGACCTTTCTTACCAATTTACATATCCTTCCCTTGGAAGTAAGTCTGCGGATGGCACTTATTAAAACGACTCCCTGCCACTCTTCGTCCACTCACTGGCTCCTGCTGACCATGGCTATCTTCATCTATTTCCAAATCTCTTTCCAGCTTTTGCTCAATCAATGAATTAACTCAGTACTGGTGGTCATTGCTTCCTGTCCTCATATCCTTTCCCCACTTCCCTATATGACTGGTTCTTTGTGGCCGCCTCCTAGTTCTTCAGCATCCCCCTGCCCCCCCCCAAGATCCTTCCTCGTCGTGAAAGAAGCATGGGTTCTCCATAGCCTCTCACCCTCTTGCCCAACATAAATCTTTAGAAAGCAAAATCTGCTAGGAAAAACATCATCAAAAGGTGCATTCTAATACTATAAACAAGGCATAGAGTACAGTGCTTCCTCCTTCAAAGATAAATATTAGTCCATGTAGTCCATTCAACTCAGTAGGAGGAATCCACGTTTTCAGAACATTTTCAAAAACAACCTTCGCAAAAACGCCCGTCCCAGATACTTAAAGGAGACGTTTCCATCAACTTCTTCAGTTTGCCGGCTGTGTAGTTGTAACCCAATTTCAACAATTTCTCCTGACAACAAGGTTCATAGTGTGAAGAGCGAATCGTAAATTCTCCTAATTGTTAAACAGAGTTCGTATATTTTGGCTATTTTTGATGGTGTTTTTCCTAGCGGATTTTGCTTTCTTTGGATCTTTGTGAAGCTAGGTTTCCCAGCTTTTTGGATTTACAACATAAATCTTTAACATTATCTTTGCATTATCTTGCATACGACACTCCGTAAGTTCATCCAACATTGGTCTGGTAGATCTATTGCTTTATCAAAGAGGCAGTATTTGGTACACAAAAAGGAAGAGGAGAATCCCAAGATCTTCCCCATCCAAAAAGGAGGTGAATTGAGATCTTCCCCGTCCCCAAAAGTTCCAAGCTACATAAAATCTCCCATCCATGTACTAACCAGGCCCAACTCGGCTTAGCTTCTGAGATTAGATGAGATCAGATGTGTTCAGGGTGGTATGGCTGTTAGGCAGGCTACATAAAATCTACACGTGAGGCTTCCATCTATTCCCAGATCTGGCAAGGGTTTACTACTGTTAAGAGCACTGTCAACCAATGCTCCCTCTAAGCTATGGAGTCCTGTGAGCAAAAATTCTTCTTTGTGAGCTACTGGCATTAAAGCTGTGAGCAGGTGAGTTGTCTACTACATTAATTAGTTTGCTCTGGAGCCCTCCTTCCTGAGCCAAGACAAAAATGTGTGAGCCAGAGGCTAAAAAACTGTGAGCTAGCTCACGCTAACTCAGCTTAGAGGGAACACTGCTGTCAACTTAGTACAGACATTTAGATATCAAGATTTTGAAAACTATTCCCATCTATTCTTAGATCTGGCAAGGATTTACTACTGTTAAGAGCTCTGTTCAACTTAGTGCAGACATTTAGGTGTCAAGCTTTTGAGATCTATTCCCAGATCTGGCAAGACTTTATTGTTAAGAGCTCCATCAACTTCGTACAGACATTTAGATGTCAAGATTTCAAGAACAATCGGCTAAATACTTCCTGAGGAAAACCCTGTCAAAATGAACGGAAGACGAGCAAGACTGTGAAAAAGAATGGCGGACTGATAAGTTTGGAAGTTTTAAAAAAATGAAGTAGAAAGCATGCTTTGGGTCCTTTAGCTTTTGGGAGGATTCTTTAAAGGTGGGAGGGACAAAAAGAAAGAACGGAGTCACACAACCCCATTCCTCCTTTTTATCCTCACAAAAATCCTAGGAGGTATATAGGTTTGGACAGAGAGCATTCCCTCCCGGCCCAAACAGTGAGCTTGACAGCTGAGCGGGAGCTGAATTCGAATCTTCATGGTCCTATTCCACTGCTCTAACCATTACATCACCAGTACAACCCCTGCTGTGTTATTTTTAAAAATGCACCTTGGTAGCCCTTTCACAAGACCTTCTACCAGTCACGTCTGATGGCCCCGATTTGCACATATCAATGGTTCCAAAGTGTTGTGCTTCTGCAGTGAGCGTGGTGGTCTTCATCCACACGGAGCGCTCTTTTCGGTCCATTCAGTTTCACCCTCACAATAATATCTCGAGTCCATTCAGTTTCACCCTCACAATAATATGATCTCGCCGTGTCAGAAACGCTAGACAATGCACAACAGTGTGGGGCCAGAAGCGTAGACCTGCTGCAGCTGCTGGTTAGACATGGCATGGACGACCACCTATTTTCCTCTACTGAGGAACAATGTCACATCTGCATTTAGCTGAACATCAGCCCACAGTGTCAGCCGGGGGAGGTGGACCCACTTCCGGGGCAAACTTTTAAAACAGGGCGAGACGGACAGGAAGAAACGTTCCCAAGCACCCATCTCTCGTTCGCTCCAGATCTTACTCTTCAGAAACGCTGCCTGATCTGGAAGTGATCGCACTTCTTGTGTTTCATCGTGAGTCCGTACACCGGGGTGATGTCCACCGTCTGTCCCTGGCGCACACTGAAGTCCAGTTTCTGAAGCAGGGTGGTCAAGAAAAGGAAGACCTCCCCTTTGCCGATGGATTCCCCGATGCACCTTCTCTTCCCCAAACCGAAAGACAGGACCTTCTCGCTCTCCACCCGGTTTATTCCAGCCCCGTCGGCAGCGAGGAAACGCTCCGGCCGGAAAGAAGAAGGATCCTTCCAAAGTTTCCTAAGGAAACAAAGAAAAGCAGAGGCTCAAGACTGGAATTGTATAAGACTAGGCCAAGATGTCTTCCTGACCAAGGGTTGACAACCTCCACTTGGGACCTGGAGATCTCCTGGAATTAGAACCAGGCCCATCGCCAGGATTTTTAAAGTCAGGGGGCATTTAAATTTCTTAGAAGAAGAGATTGGATTTATACCCCGCCCTTCACTACCCAAAGGAGTCTCAGAGCGGCTTACAATCGCCTTTCCCTTCCCCTCCCCACAACAGACACCCTGTGAGGTAAAAGAAGAAGAAAAGATTGGATTTATACCCCGCCCTTCACTACCCGAAGGTGTCCCAGAGTGGCTTACAAACGCCTTTCCCTTCCCCTCCCCACAGCAGACACCCTGTGAGGTAAAAGAAGAAGAGATTGGATTTATACCCCGCCCTTCACTACCCAAAGGAGTCTCAGAGCGGCTTACAAACGACACCCCGCAGATACAGAAATAGTGCTTAAGATATAAGTTAAAAAGAATCAGCTGGAATATTTTTGTATTAGCTTTCTTAGTGTATCTTTTAAGGCTTGACATTTTCTCAGGCGCTGGATTGCCCAGGCTTCTAAAAACCCAGAATTCGAAACAGCTGGGCACTTGGAACATCTCCGTTTTCTAGCACCCTCTCTCACAAGGCCCGTAGCCAGGATCTTTTAAGTCAGGGGGCATTTACATTCCTTAGGGGGCACTGGCTAATCAAATTAATCCGGGGGAGAAGGCTGTGGTGCCCTGGGATGGATGGGAAGTCAGGGGGCCTTGCCAGCAAGTCGGGGGGGCCTAGCCCCGAGGTGCCCCACGGTAGTTACGGGCCTGATTAGAATGACTCTCTAGGCAACAGAGATCAGTTGCCCTGGAGAAAATGGCTGCTTTGGCAGGTGGACTGTATTTACTCATTTAGCTTTATATCCCACCCTCCCCGCAAGCGGGCTCAGGGCGGGTTATGCAAGTCAGCTAAGCAAATGTAGTGACTGTAATATACAATAAATAGGGTTAAAATAATTCAATGGAACTAAAACAATCTAAACCCAGTCTTGGTTAGGGCATCAGACAAATGGGTGATCTCCTTGTAGACGATGCTGTGGTGGAAAGCTCAATTCGGTGGAGTCTCTGGATGTTTTATCACTAGTTTGGTGTAGTGGTTAGGAGCGGGGACTGTAATCTGGGAGAACCGGGTTTGATTCCCCGCTCCTTCGCATGCAGCTGCTGGTGTGACCTTGGGTCAGTCACAAGTCCTTTCGGAGCTGTTCTCTCATGAGTAGTTCTCTCAGAGCTCTCTCAGCCCCACGTACCTCACAGGGTGTCTGTTGTGGGGAG